GAATTTCTTCCAGCACAAGCTCTTTGTTAAATAAATTCATGCTGGAAGCTAAAAGGTTTGTGATCATCAGAACAGTGAAGTGCCGGAATATCCTCCAAACAGGAGCAGTGGTGATAAAAATAGGCTTTTTTTAAAATGAAACCATTTGGTTTAAGAGAGGATGATACAAAATTGCTCAGTAGTCAGCAAAGAAATGGATGTGATGACTTGGGATGTTTCTTTCAGTTATACTTTCCAGGCTAGAAAAGGACAAGACTAAATACGACTTATCTAATCCTTCAAATGTCTTTTGTGAGGTTACTTCAGTTGCCTGAGACATATATAGCAATAGCTTGTGCTTGAATTTCCTGCTACCTGTTTTGGGAAAAAGAGAGAATATTTGCTTCAGAATATGCAGCAGGGACTAGGTGAGGTCCAAGTGATGGTAGTTCTCGTGCCTGTCTGTGTTATTTTGTGGAGTTTGACAGCTCTTGTTGTCTCTGAAAAATAAGAGACTAAGCAGAGGGAGAAGCCTGGGTCCAGGCTGTAGCTCTCCAACAGGTCACATCAGTAATTAACCTTTTTGGGTTGTAATAACTTAACTCCAAAGGCATTTAATGGCTAATCCCATTATAACGCATACTTCTTGTATTCCTCTCTTCCCCCTCCCCTGTCTTATCCGAAGGTGAAGGGACCAGGAGTTGGAGTGATTGGGACCGGGAAAGGGGCAGAATTAGCACTCTCCATGACCACCTTCCTGCCAGAGGTGGTGGCTGCTGTCTGTATCTCTGGCTGTAGCTCAAACACCGCTGCAGACCTCCATTACGGTGACATGACTCTGCCCGGGCTGCGCTTTGATATGAATAAGGTCAGTGTTTCTGACGCTGGTGTGTTTGACATTTTTGAAGCTCTGGATGACCCAACGAATCCTGCTAATTCTCCCTGCACGATCCCCATTGAAAAAGCAGAAGGTCACTTTCTCTTAGTGGTAGGGGAGGACGATCGGATGTGGAAGAGCTCCTTATATGCTGAGTTGGCAATCAGCCGTCTGCGCCAGCACGGGAAGGAAAACTTTGAACTCTTGAGTTATCCAGGAGCAGGTCACCGAATCGATCCTCCTTCTACTCCGTTTTGTCAGGTAGCTATGGATCGTGTCCTGGGGGTGCCTGTGCTGGGGGGTGGAGAGAGCAAAGCACATGCCCATGCACAGGAACACTCCTGGGGAAAGATTCAGGAGTTTCTGCACTTGCATTTGGGATGAACACTTAAGCACCTGCAAGCTGTTGCAGAACTGCAGAGGACTGAGCTTGAGCCACCCAAATGACTGCTGAATTGGAGGGACTGACTGAGAAAAGCTGTGAGATCTGAAATAACCGAATGACTACTTAACTACACATATAAAACCCAAAATAAAGGGATTTAATTGGATTAGCCTAAGTTATTTTAACTAGGCACACAGAGGAGAAGTTGAACAATGATTAGCAGGCTGCATTGTAGTAGAAATTTGGCAGCCTGAACTGGCCATAACATGAAGAAACAAGTACCTGAGGAGAGTAGTAGGTACTTTCTTGCCTGCAGTATTTATGACTCGAAGAATTTAACAGCTAGCCTGCACCCTCAGCGATGACAGACTGGATCACACCTGAGGAATGATGGCAACCCGTGGAGGAAGAACTTAGAACCAGTCATCATTTTGATGTCAGGCTTTCGGTGTTAAGTTACCTTACCTCTCAGATTTACAGCCATATACGCTTTGGAAATGTCTTCTATTCACGTGAAGTTAGGGTTATTTATGTGAAATGGGGCTCATATATACTTTGGCCTTAGGTAGCAGGCTTTCTGGTCACACAGTCTGTTTCCTTCCAACAAAAACTGCCTGTCGGTGGGAAAATGATGAGTACTTTTCCTGTCATCTCGGATGAATGGCAGCACTAGCACTGTCGTTGTACTAGGGATGTAACCGACTGTTCCTCTGTCTTGCATTGGCCTTTGGCACTCTGGGTATTAAAATTCTGTTGGCTAGGTTAAAGCATGGTTAAATGCAGTTATGCTATGTGCAAGTCTGATTTCTCTCTTTGTTGCTTGCTTTAAACTAGTAACACCTGCCATTAAGTCAGGGATTAATTATTTG